TGTATTTGTATGTGCATGTTAGTGTTCGCTTATGCACGAAACCCGAAGTGATGGCTCAAAGTAATTAGGAAAGCAAAAAGGAACGTCTGTTTTCGGCCACAATATCCCACTTTCTACATTTAAGTTATAACCATCACCCAACACTTCTACTCGAAATGGAAGTAAGCCCAACAATGAGGAGCTTTTATTTGGTATGAAAATGCATGAAGAAAAGATTCATAGGTCGATCTCACCAGAAGAGGACAGATGAATCGTGCTGTACTGCAGCCGTTTGGCTTCTAGACGATGTTCAGGCTGACGCAGTCTCGTATATAGACTCAATTAAGTTAAAATAAAATTAAAAACCCAGAAAGATATACAGTAATGAGATGTCTCGAAACCCTACTCATTTACGAAATATAGAGTAGTTTGTCTAATTATCTTTCATAGTGGTCCTGCTACTTTTGCTCGAGTGTGTGTGTATGTGTGTGTGTGTAATACCAGTTCTAAATCAGAGTTATCAAAAGGCTCTGATCGTCAAGGCCTAATGACCCAAAAGAAAGCCCTGACCGAGATTGCGTAAGTTCGTAAGCAAGTATGGTTGAGATGATGAGATATGAGCCTGTAAGCATGTAAGTATGTAAGTCAAGTTACGAAACCACTTGTCCTAACCTCTCGGTCTCTGACCATTAACGTTCAATCCCCACAAGGAAAGGCAAGACTGGCGTTGCGTAATCCGACATGTCTGGTTTGGTTGATGAGCTTAATCCAACATGTTGGACGAGTGTAAGTGGAGTTAGAAGCATCATTGGACAGAAAAGTCAAGGAGACTGTCCGGCTTTAGCTTGCATTTTGTATAGGCTCACAAGAAATGGAAGTCTCCGCAACAATGTAATCTCAGGAGATTCGTCAAAATAAAGTTGCTCTTCCTATTCATTTTCTCATTTTTAAAGGCCATTAATTTAGTTTCGTATGCATCTATACATACAAACATACAAACATACATACATACATACATACAAACATACAAACATACAAACATACATACAAACATACAAACATACAAACAAACAAACAAACAAACAAAACATACATACATACATACATACATACATACATACATACATACATACATACATACATACATACAAACATACAAACAATCATACATACATACATACATACATACATTCATACATACATACATACATACATC